GGGGGAAGGGAGAGGAAAAGGAAAAAAGGGGGAGCAGGAAAAGAGGTGGGAAAAGGGGGAGGAAAGAGAGGAGAGGGACAGGAATGGAAAGACAAAATGGGGAGAAAATGAGGGAGAAAAAAGAGGGAAAAGCAGGGGACAGGAAAAAAGAGGGAAAAAGGAAAAAGGGGGGAAGGAAAAAGGGGGAAGGGAGGAAAAAAAAATGGGAGTGAAAAGCAGAATTAATCTTATTACCTCATAAACCATTAATAAGCTAATCAATCCTCATTAGGCATCAATTATCTAATTAACTTGGTTAGTGGATTAAGGGTTTTAGGTTAATGAGATGCCCCACAAAACAGATTCTGTCATTTAATCCCTAATTATGTTAATTCAATTAGATCTCACCTAACAAAATCACTTTTGGCATCATTAGTGACCGAATGAACTAATTAATAAGGTAAGTCAGCTAATTAAATATCTACACAGCTAAATAATGAAATTATTTATTGAGTCCCCCAGAAGTTTGACCAATAAAAAAACAACAAAACCACGAACAAAACTCAACTAAGATTGATTAGAAATTAATTTAAACAATCAATAACATCATTAATTGATCAATCATTAATCAGCTCCCTCCAGTTCCAGCCACTCAAACCCCCCCTTAATTAATCCTCAGATTTCCCCACCTTCAGCACCCGCCCGTAACGAGCTTTGCTCATAAACCCAATCATTAATTAACGAGATTAATTAATCTAATTAACTCAAATCAATTAATTACAGCCCCCTCCAGGGGTGCTGGGCAGGTGCATTTCCACTCCCCAAACCCATTCCCGGCGCTTTGGGGCGGGCGGGTTGTTCATTAATTAACTGATTAATTAACTAATTAATGAACTAATGAATTAATTAATGAGCGGTGCCGAGCGCTGATGGGGCACTCACGGGTGGTGCCGGTGGCTGCCCAGGTGACAGGCCCGGCAGGTGAGGCTGTCACAGGTGCTGCAGAAGAGCGAGAGCGGCTCCGCGGGGTGAGCCGGGCACGGCCCCGGGACACGGCCCGGCCCCGGACACGGCCCCGGAGACACTGCGGGAACGACGGGAAAAACGGGAATGTCAGGAGCGGGAAAAAACGGGAATGACAGCACCGGGAATGATGGGAAAAACGGGAATGACAGCAACGGGAATGACGGGAATGTCAGCAATGGGAACGACGGGAAAAACGGGAATGTCAGGAGCGGGAAAAACGGGAATGTCAGCACCGGGAAAAACGGGAATGGCAGCAACGGGAATGACGGGAAAAACGGGAATGTCAGCAATGGGAACGACGGGAAAAACGGGAATGACAGGAGCGGGAAAAACGGGAATGTCAGCACCGGGAATGACAGGAAAAACGGGAATGTCAGCAATGGGAATGATGGGGAAAAACGGGAATGTCAGCAATGGGAATGACGGGAAAAACGGGAATGTCAGCAANGGGAATGATGGGGAAAAACGGGAATGTCAGCACCGGGAAAAACGGGAATGTCAGCAACGGGAATGACGGGAACAGAACGGAAATGTCAGGAGCGGGAACGACGGGAAAAACGGGAATGTCAGGAGCGGGAATGACGGGAAAAACGGGAATGTCAGCAATGGGAAAAACGGGGAAAACGGGAATGGCAGCACCGGGAATGACGGGAACAGAACGGGAATGTCAGCAATGGGAATGACGGGAATGTCAGCAATGGGAACAACGGGAAAAAACGGGAATGTCAGCACCGGGAATGACGGGAAAAAACGGGAATGTCAGCACCGGGAAAAACGGGAATGTCAGGAGCGGGAATGACGGGAAAAACGGGAATGTCAGCAACGGGAATGACGGGAAAAACGGGAATGTCAGCAACGGGAATGACGGGAACAGAACGGGAATGTCAGCACCGGGAAAAACGGGAATGTCAGCACCGGGAATGACGGGAAAAACGGGAATGGCAGCAATGGGAATGACGGGAACAGAACGGGAATGTCAGCACCGGGAATGACCGGAATGTCAGCACCGGGAAAAACGGGAATGTCAGCACCGGGAATGACGGGAAAAACGGGAATGGCAGCAATGGGAATGACGGGAACGTCAGCACCGGGAACGACAGGAAAAAAGAGAATGTTAGCAACAGGAAAAGAACAGGAATGTTAACAACAGGAACAGAAACAGCGGGAACGGAAATAACGGGAACAGAAAGGGAAAAGAACGGGAACGTTAATAATGGGAACAGAAACAGCTGGAATGGAAACAGTGGGAACGGAAAGGGAAAAGAACGGGAATGTTAACAACGGGAATGGATAATGGGAAAACAATGGGAACGTTAGCAATGGGAATTTTGGGAAAAGAACGGGAATGTTAACAACGGGAATGACGGGGAAAGAACGGGAATGTTAACAACAGGAACGGACAATGGGAAACCAATGGGAACGTTAGCAATGGGAATTACGGGAAAAGAACGGGAATATCAGCACTGGGAATGGATAATGGGAAAACAATGGGGATGTCAGCAATGGGAATAATGGGGAAAGAACGGGAACGTTAATAACAGGAACGGAAATAACGGGAATGGAAACAGCGGGAACAGAAATAACAAGAAAGGAAACAACGGGAATGTCAACAACGGGAATGGAAATAACAGGAATGTTAATAGCAGGAACAGAAATAACAACAAAAGAGCAGGAATGTTAATAATGGGAATGGAAACAACGGGAAGGGAACAGGAAAAGAATGGGAACATTAACAATGGGAACATTAACAATGGGAATGTCAAGAACAGGAACAGAAATAATGGGAATGGAAATGATGAGAATGGAAATAACAGGAACACAAATAACAGGAACATGGACACAGAAATAACAGGAATGTCAATAGCAGGAACGTAAAGAACGGGAAAAGAACGGGAAAAGAACGGGAATGTCAAGAACTGGAACGTAACAGGAACATCAAGAACAGGAACGCGATGGGAACATCAATAAAGGGAAAAGAATGGAAAAATAACAGGAACAGAACAGGAATGTGGGAACCTAAATAACAGGAAAAAAACAGGAAAAAAAACAGGAAAAAAACAGGAAAAAAAACAGGAAAAAAACCAGGAAAAAAACAGGAAAAAAAACAGGAAAAAAACAGGAAAATAACAGGACAATAACAGGAAAATAACAGGAAAATAACAGGAAAATAACAGGAAAATAACAGGAAAATAAGTAATGGGAAAAGAATGGGAATATAAGGAAGGGGGAAATGGGAAGATAAATAACAGGAAAAGAACAGAAATGTGGAACATAACAGGAAAATGGGAAAGAACACGGGAAAATAAGGAGAATGTAACAGGAACACAACAGGAAAATGGGAACGGGGAAATGACAGGAAAATAATGGGAAAATAACGAGAAAATGGGGATGGGGATGGGAAAATGGCAAAATGGGAACAGGAAAATGGGAACAGGAAAATGGGAACAGGAATGAGAATGGGGTGGGAATGGGAATGGTGACAGGGTGATGGCACAAGGAGTGGGACTGGGATGGCACCACAATGGAACTGGGACAGGACTGGGAATGGCGCTGGGTATGGGGCTGGGACAGGACCAGGAACAGTGCTGGGATCACACCAGGACTGTACTGGGAATGGCACCAGGAGAGAACCAGCACAGCACCAGGAATGGCACTGGGAATGGTGCTGGGATGTAACCAGGAGAGGATCCCAAATGCCACCAGGAATGGTACTGGGATGGAACTGGGATGGCCCCAGGCAGGACTGAAACAGGGCTGGGAATGCTGCTGGGTTGGCACTGGGAACAGAACTGGGACAGGACCAGGAATGACACTGGGAACGGAACTGGGACAGGACCTGGAATGGCACTGGGAACAGAACTGGGACAGGACGGGAATGGCACCAGGATAAGACAGGGAATGGCACCTGGAATGGCACCACAATGGCACTGGGACAGATCCGCTGACAGGGTCAGGGACAGGGAGGTGACATGAAGTGACAGGGGGTGACAGGGGGTGACAGGAGGTGACAGGAGGTGACAGGGGGCGACAGGGACTCACCCAAGGCCTGCACGCTGTGGTCCCGGGTGTACCTGACCCTCTGGTGGGCCTCCACGCAGGTGTCACACAGCGGCTCCGCGCACTCCAGGCAGAAGCTGGTGGCTGCTGCGTTGTCCTCACAGTTGGTGCAGGTCTGGGGACAAGGGACACGCTGGGGCACCTCTCTCACCCCCCCGAATCAGTGCTAATTAGCACTAATGAGGCAGTACCTGCCCGCTGCCCTGGCCCAGGGCTGTGCCAGCCCCACCGTCCTGCAGGAAGAAGTTCTCCATGATGTCACCGAGGGGACACTGCTGGTGGCACACGGGGCACTCGAACACTGTGGGGGACAGAGAGGGGACAAAGTCACCCCATGTGGCCGTGGGAAGGGGTTTTAACCCTTTAAGTGCCATGGAAATAAGATGCACAACTACATAGTTGTTTTTTATGATAGAGAGCCAAGTTTATTCAGAAACACACTTGGTTTTATAGCAGGACTGCAACTCCAAGAATAGAAAAAACGTGATTGGTTCAGAGAGAAGACACCTCATTGCCAGGGCCTGGTCACACACCACAACAGGGGTTCTATCTTTGTTATTAATTCCCTTTTATTTTGACTAAATTATCACCCTGGGAGAAATTCTCCCTGGCCTTGAGCTGGGCCAGCTCATGGGCTGGGAACAGAGCTGAGAAGCTCCAGCCTGGAATATATTTTCAGGCTGTAATTTTCTTACTTTCTCAGTATGTGTCCCTACAGCCCCACACCCTCCTTTGTCACCTCCATTTGTCACCAAGTGCTGGCTCATTAGTGGGGTGGGGGCTGGGGACCTCCAAAATGGGAGCCCCAGGGCCACCACGGCCACCGATGTCATCCCAGGTCCCTGGAGCCCCCAAAACTCCCAGTAATTCCTGCAGCAACCCAGTAACTTCCAGTGATCCCAGTAAACCCAAGCGCCCTCCCAGTGCTCCTTGAGCTCCCAGTAACCCTCGGTGTCCTCCGCAATCCAGTGATCCCAGTAACCCCAAAAATCCCACTGACCACCAGTGATCCCAGTAACCCCAAAAATCCCACTGGCACCAGTGATCCCAGTAACCCCCAGCATTCCCAGTAACCCCAAAAATCCCACTGGCACCAGTGATCCCAGTAACCCCCAGCATTCCCAGTAACCTCAAAAATCCCACTGACCACCAGTGATCCCAGTAAACCCACGTGCCTCCCCAAAGCTCTCTGAGCTCCCGGTACCTCCCAGCGCTCCCATCTCACACCTCCCCCTCACCGTGCCCGTCGCTGCCGGCGGCTCCCGGCGTGGCCCCGAGGCAGTCCCGGCACACGGAGTGCAGGCAGGGCAGCAAGCGCGGCTCCCGCTGGGGGCTCAGGCGCTCCCGGCAGGCTCCGCACAGCTCCAGCAGCTCCAGCGGCTCCGGCGGCTCCGCTCCCTTCGCCCCGAGGCCGTTCCCGACCGCCATGGCCAGCGGTACCGACATGGCTGCCGCGACCCCCCTCAGCTCCCACACGGCTTCCTCCTCCCGCCCCCCCGGCCAGCAGCCAATCAGCGCCCTCTCAGCGAGATTGACAGCGCAGATAACCAATGCGAGGGTGGAGGGCGGGGACTAGCGGAGACTAACAGCATGCGAGGAAGAAGGTGCGGAGACACCACGGGCGCGTGAACCGACCAATCAGCGCGTACGGCGGCCGGAGCTGAACCAATCAGCGGCCGAATTGCCCTGGGGAAGGCGGGGCCTCTTGACCAATCAGCATGGGGGCTGCGCGGGGGGGGGGGTCGAGGCTTTGATCGACAGCTGCATAAACCAATGGGATGCCGAATTGGGGAGGGAATGGGAGTGCTGGGGGTTACTGGGATCACTGGGAATTACTGGGATCACTGCAGGTCACTGGGAGCTCAGGGAGCACTGGGGAGGCATAGGGGGTTACTGGGGTCACTGGGAGCACTGTAGGGGGACGGGATGTGCTGGGTGACAGAACTGGGAACACTAAGAAGGGACTGGGAGAGCTGCAGGGTTGAACTGGGAGCACTGGGGGTACGGCAAGGCGGTCAGTGGGGACACTGGGAGTTACTGGGAGGGCACGGAGGGTTACTGAGAATGCTGGGAGGACACTGGTGGCTACTGGGGGCATTACTGGGAGGGCCCTGGGCAGCACTGGGACCAACGAGTGAGGGGCCCTGGGCGCTGGTGGCCCTGGGGCAATGTCTCCCCAGTGTCCCCCCTCAGTGTCCCCATGTCCCCTGGGGTTCTGGGAGGTCCCCGTGTGGATCACAGGGGGGTTTGTGACGGAGCCATGACACAGCCTGTGGCTGCTGCCACCCCCTGCCTGGTGGCCATGGGGACACGGCCTGGCCACCGGCACCCATGGCTGCTGGAAGTGACCCGGGGAGGACGTGGCCAGTGGCCATAGAGAGGAGTTTGGCCCCTTCATGTGGCCGAGAACTGCCACGGCCCTTCCTGGTGAAGAAAATGGCGGGAAACGTGAGGGGAAAAAAGAGCGGGAAACGTGAGGGGAGAAAATGGCGACAAACATGAGGGGGGAAAATGGCAGCAAACGTGAGGGGGGAAAATGGCGGGAAACGTGAGGGGAGAAAATGGCGGGAAACGTGAGGGGGGAAAATGGGAAGCGAGACACAAAATGGCAGGAAAGGACAGGGAAGAATCAGTGGGAAATGTGAGTGGAAAAGAAAGAATGAAAGACGTGAGACAAAGACAGGTGTTAAACTTGAGGGGAGAAAATGGTGGCAAAAGTGAAAAAGGAAATAGGTGGAAACGTGAGAGGAAAAAGGGCGGGACAGGTAAGGGGGGGAAAAGGCTGGAAATGTGAGGGGGAAAAGTGGGAAATGACAGGAAAAGAGCAGGAAACGTGAGGGGGGAAAAAAGAGCATGAGGGAAGAGTTGGTGGGAAACGTGTGGGGAGAAAAGGCAGGAAATGGGAGGCAAAAAAGGACAGTAAACCTGAGCGAAAAGGATGGGAAATGAGAGGAAGGAAAGGTAAGAAATGGAAGGGGAGGAAAGGTGGGAAATGTGAGGGGAGAAAAGGGCAGGAAACGGGAGGGAAAATGGGTGTGAAAGATAACAGGGGGGAAAATGCAGGCAACATGAGGCCAAAAACGCTGGGGAACGTGAAGGGACAGAAGGGAAGTGTGAGAGGAAAAGGGTGAGAAATGTGGAAAAAAAGGGGAAAATGGCGAGACAAATGAGCAAGCTCTTGTGCTGTTGCTTTGGGTAATTCCCTGTTTGCCCACTCCCCTCAGAGAGTCCAAATTCGCCCAAATTCCCCCTCAGGAATTTGGGGGATCCTGCTCAGATGTGTATTTGTGTTTATTTTGGGAATTTCAGACCCTCCTCTCCAAATTATGAGATTTCCCCCCAAGTCCAAGGGCTCCCAAATATCACCTCCAAATTGTAACTCCCC